TCCGTTGCCACCAGTGAAAATTAGAAATGCAGGTATAAATAAATAAATTATTATTAAACTACCTATAAGTAAATTACACCGAAAGATTAGGTCCAATCGTACCTTCACCGGACGGTTTCTTATTGCCTCAAGACACTCAAGCCATTGCCCTTAATTTAAACATACATTATGCTTATTGTACTTTTTTTTTTAGTATGGATTGTATAATATCCTAGATTAAAAATAAAAAAAAACCTATAGTAAATTAAAAATTATTTATATTTTAATTTGTAAGAGCTGGAAATTTGCCGAAAATGATAGAAGTTAAAAATTCTCAAAGGTGTTGCATAGAAGGATCCAAACAAAAAAAAATTGTTTAGGCGTATTAAACGTAATTTATATTTTTGTATCAACGTAAAACACAATTGTTTTAAAACTTTCATTCGAAATAATTTTGTTTAGTTAAATAATAAACGATTTAAACCATTATTTTATAATAATCAAAAAGTAGTTATAGTTAAAAATTGAAATATTTAATAATATTAATAGATTGTTATTTTGAATTAACATCAACCTAACGTCCAATTCAATGTACATTTTAAAATATGTGTTTAAGTGTTTTAGACGAAATGGTATCAGATAAAAATTATCAAACACGTCATGTATATCCTTCCAAACTATCACTAGTTTAATGTTATATTGACAGAAGTATAATATAAGTAAAACAATTGACGAGCGTTTGTGGGTATAAGAAAGAATGTCCACTATAGTGTAAGCTTGGGCGCCAAACCATTTACCTATAATAATTGTCCATTATAATGGGCATTGGGTCTAGGGAGGTAAGGTTAGGTTAGGTTGTTAATATTAATATAATATATATAATATATATATTATATAATTTGGCGATTAAAATGGTATTGGTATATTATATGTTTATTGATTCTGTATATTTTTGTTTAGTATTTTTACATTTTCAAAATACTCTAAGTTACCTAATAAGAAATGTAAACGATTAATTTATATTGTACTTTGTGATGCACCTGCAGAAATTGTAATACAATATTTACCTTTTTGCACAATAACATCATCTAATAAGAAAATAAATTGTATTTTCAATGTAATTTTCACCATTTGTCGTTGATAAATGAGAACTACAGTATTATACCCGATGTTTCTAAATTATGGTTAAACATTATTTACTTACAATTATGTTTTGGCTGTAATATTTGGGTGCTATTTACCATACGTACTTCACAATTTTTAAAAATGCAATCTTATTGAAATGGGTTTTTTTTTGTTAATATTATAACGATATACGCAGTGTTGGGAATTATCTAGATGATTACTTTACGATTTATCTAATGTATAGGTAGCTTAGATAAAAAATGAGCTTATTAATTATTATATCGAATTTTGAGCAGTTAAATCATGGATGGATCGATTCGACTTCAATAAATAATATTTTATTAAATATTATACAGTTGCAGTAATTTTGTAATTTTATTTTTTTGCTTTTTGAATTTTATTATAATTAAAAATGTTGTATTCTATTTTGAATAGTGGTATACTGGTATTGGTATAGTTAATGTTATTATGTTTCATTCTTACATACTCAAAAAAAATCAGAGATTTAAGGTAAGTATTGTTCAAATAAAAGGCGCATTCAGTTGTTATCATACATATTATTTCGTCATGCCATCATATTGATACAAATAAAACAAAATAAATAAGTTCAAAAAAAAAAAAATGATAATAATAATATATTAAATAATAAATTCTATTTATGTTATCTTTATTTTTATTTAGATACTATTTTGATAAAACTATCTTATCTTATCTAGATAATTTTTAGTTACTTATTCCCAATACTGGATATACGTTATACTTATATGACATCTACATCTATATATAATCAATTTTTATTTTTAAATATTCAATCACTTTTAAAACTAAAAACTTTTTTCTACTGATTCTAAATAATATTTTATTATATAAAAAATATTCTTTTTTCAACTCGATAATGTACTGACACAGTAACAGGGTATAAACTTTAATAAAAAAAAAATAATTGGTTACATCAACGAACATTCTCTAGACACGATATAAAAAAAATTTAACAATTCGTATAAATATATATACAACATGTCCGTGTCACGCATGACCTTTGTAACTACGACTAAATAAAATCAAAACGTTATATTTAATTAAGAAACCATTTGAATGGCAATGTTTGAATAATTCATTAGGATTGATAAAACTTATGATAAACTTACGAAGTGCGCTTTAGAAATAATATTTAATTGAAAACCTTGGGTTTATAAATGTAATATTTTTTAACTAAAAGTTTATGTATATTGTCAGACAACAACCACTGACATCTGCAGACTGCAGTTGAAGCTTTATAAACTTGAAAATACGTAATGAACAACAATAAAAGGACTGGGTATAAAAAGTAAAAGTCGTATTTAAATGTAGATATAATTCTTTTATATCCGTCGCATTCACTTAATCTATTCAACTATTAAATAATTATGATAAATTTTGGATCATTAACCGTAAAAATGTATTAACAGATTACCGACAACGCATCAAAAATTAGACACTTATATTAGACACTTATAAGTTGCAATTTTGGGTATCGAATTGCAATACATGCATACAACATACCTACATCGGTAATCATTCATTAATATTTTGCGATAGTAAACGAACAATAATATAAATATTCGATTAGTAGCGATAATTATAAGCTAAGTATGTGATTGATATTTTACAGGTATTAAAGTGTTAAGTGTAGAAAGCTATGTACCTATATGAATTTATTAATTAAGTATTTATTTTTTAATATTGTTATGGATCATTTGTTAATTAAACACAAAACATTTACCGACTGTCCGATTATATTAGGTGTCTATATATTATCATCAACGTTATTTTAATGATTATCACAGTTTGAATACATAATATAACGAATTTTAAATACGTAGGTACTATTATTACATATTGGAAATATGCCGAAGTTGGAAACTTATCTACGGCCTTCATCAACCTATATACCGTTATTTATGTAGGCTAATCTTACACAAAAAATGGTTGAAAAAATCGGTGTTGTACGATTGAGAACGTTTTACCTTTTTAGCAACACGATTGAGAACGATGTCGGCAGATCAAAGAAACAATATTTTGTACCTTAAAATCAAACGATTGAGAACGATATTTCTAACGACGTTGCCATTTATCTTATCTTTTAGTAATAATTTTTTGGGCTGGGATTTTGAATTTAAAATTTTTTATTAAAAAAATGTATTATTTGGGCATTTTTCACAATTTGTTTATAAAATGTACAACGATTCATGCGATTAACAAGAGACATTTGGCACACTGTCGACGGTTAATAATAAATTATCATAGCTAGGCTTTTACGCTCAAACTATTGCCGTTATATATACCTATATACCATACATATATATATATATATATATATATATATATATAGGTACAAGTTATCGTCGATAACAACAGCTAGGCCTCATATACCGAATTAGTAACCAATTAGTACGTCCAGAACTAAACAAGTAACTGTACTAAAACGATAACGAGATGTACACTGTTTGTACGTATCTGCAGATATTCAACTGTAAAAAATTGTTAATATTGCCAAATTCAGTTGTTTGGTGGACAGTGCGGTAACAACGTAATATAGTGTAATAGTGTATAATATAGTGGTGTATAATGGAACACTTTAAAATTATAACGTCTGAACGCGGAAAAGATCTTGTATTATTAAATAATGATAAATATTCATATGTATGATCACGTATAGATGGATTAATGAAATGGAAATGTTCCAATAACAGCTGTAGTGCCAGTTTATTAACAAAAATAGACAAAACTTTTCATTCGTCAAATGGTGAACATGTAAATCATGCAAGTAATAACAACGAAAAAATTGAAAGACAGATTTTGAGGGAAAATTGTAAGCGAAAAGCTGATGAAAATACATCGACAAGACCGTTAAAAGTTATTAGAACAGAGTTATTAAACAGTGACTCGCCAAATATTATGAACAATGATATTACATCAGTGCGAAAGGCGATTTATGATAAAAAAAGAAAACAGTATCCAATTTATCCTACTTCTTTAAATGAAGCTATATCCCAATTAAAAAATATGCAAAATAATGATTTATGTATGTTTAAAAGTGAACAATTTGTTTTTGTTCCTGAAACAAATGACTTCGTTTGCATAACAACTAGCCAAAATTTAAATTTTATGTCGAAACAAACTGAATTTTATGTAGACGGTACATACCATTTTGCACCAAAATTTTTCTTACAACACACATACGTGAATGGTTTTTAGGTGCATATTGTTTATTTATTTTTTGCCAAACAAAACAAAACAAATTTACATTAAAATGTGAAAGTATCTTTAGCAAATATGTCCAGGTCTTAACGTTAAAAAGCTGCATCTCGACTTCGAAATTGGTTCTCACGAAGCAGTCAAAGAAATTTTTCCCAATGTCATTATCGAAACTTTCCGTTTTCATATAGCCCAAGCTTGGTGGAGAAAGGTAAAAAATACGATAATATTTTGGATTTTCACTCTTATTAATAACATATGTATTTTATATTATCTGTATGACAGATAACCGGAGAATCAAAGTTGAGAAGTCCATATAAAGACCGGTGAAAGACATAAGCGCCAAAATAAGATAAGAAAAAAAAAGTCGTATCGTAAAAAAGCGCCAGAAATTAAATAACAGATATTAAATTTAGAACTATTGATTAGAAAAATAAATAAATTATTGAAAAGTGGGATTAAAAAATCAATCAATTTATTAAATGTATTTAATAATGTGCATGTAGCTGCCTATATTAAAATTTACTATCAACATAATAATATTAATATAATATAATTTTTATAAGATATAGAAATTTTTAAATAACTTCCTACTTAATACTTATATAAAATATTAATTTTGGCGCAAATTATAGGTCATTTTTGTACCTTTGGCACTTATGTCATACAGCCATAAAGACAACAATGACGAATTAGGTCAATGGCTTGAATTATTTTTTGGTTTGCCTTTTCTACTTCCCACTGATGTTGATGATGCGTTTATACAACTTATGGCAATAATATGTCCAGACTTAGAAGTTGGGAGTTTATTTTCAGACTGCGTGTTACTCGCATACATTGAAGATGATTCGCTATTTCCACCTATTCTTGGGGCTCAAGTACCGTCATTAAATCCAAGGTACTTAATATACTATAACTTAGTAACTTACTATAAAATAATGTAATATAATATATAATAATAATAATAATGTATTTTATAGTTATTTGTAATTATATTTATCTGCTTTTATTTGGTCTGCATGTTTAAAGTAATTTATTATTTTATTTTTAAGAACCACCAATGGAGCAGAAAGTTTCCACAGAACTTATAACGGACAATCTTACAGCACACATCCTCCTACACATGCAGTAATTTCTGTTTTAAAGGAGACCCAAACACAACCCGTGGCAATAATCAACTCCATTGAAAATAATATTACAAAAACCATGGCAAGCTAAGATTATAATCGTATTGTTTCAACAATTAATTTATATAAAGAGTTTGAACAAAATAAGGACATAATAAGGTATTTAAAATTAACCGGAAATAAGTACTTGGGAAAAACAATTTAAATTGTGTATATACTGGCAAATAAATATTGATTTTTTAAATTTTTAATCTTAAGCTGACAAATATGTTGTATATAAATATAATTTTTTTTACTTTTCATCTTAAAAAAATGCCTTAAAAATAAGTGATGAATGTATTGATTTTACAATATGTGTGAGTTTTTTTTTTATCAAATTTAAAATTTAAATATGATTTTTTTGTTCACAATTTATTAAATGTTTAACTTTAATAGCTAAGGATTGAAAATTAAAAAAAATTCCATGTAAGTTTATTTTGTAAACAAAATATAGTGTTTGATATCTTATATATATTATATATTGTATTTTTATTATTTTTATTTTTATTTTTAATTAATGTGGCAACGTTGCATAAAAGTTAGCAGATAAGAATATTCTCAATAGTGCTATTAAAAAAGGTACGGCTGATAAGGACAGTTCTCAATCGTGTTCTACCCGAAAAAATAAAAACATTTGAAAAATGTCAGTGTTGAGAATTCAAAATGTTGCTGAAAATTCTCAAGTATGAAAAAAAATTCTCAAATATTACATATTAAATATTATATTTATTCCAGAGATAACAGAAGTGAAACAATTTCTTTTAACTTTAAGGTCGGTATGTGTTTAATATATTAATTTAATAATATTATGTTTAGGAAAATATACATAAATACATTGCAATTAATCTTCTGTATTAATATTTTGTCGAAGAATTTCCCTGTTTTTTTTTGGCGATGCAACAAAATGGAAAATATTGAAGAAAACTTATTCCCAACAAAGATGGAGATCTACAATATCTATCAACCTAATGATCTTGTTGCTACAGGTAAACTTTATTTACAATATAATTCATTGAATTAGTAACTACGTATATTTTACATTTGTGAGAATATTAAGCATGTTTAATATTTTAGGTTTGAACCATTGGTGGCAAACGAATATTGTAAGGAATATAAACAAATATAACATTAGAAAGGTTTTAAGTATAATTTGTAGGTATGTATTATTAAGTATAAATCAGTGAGCGCCCCCAAACCAAGAAAAAAAAGATCACAGAATATGATTTACAAATTCGTCTAACATAATGTAACATCTATCAAAATGTGCTTAATTTACAGATAAAGAGAAACGAAGCTCTAAAGTGTATTTTAAAAATTATTCTTGAAATGCAACTTCTTTACAAAGGGTACGAAAAAAAAGAAAGATTATCGTCAGTCACGACACTACGGTTTCTATGGTAAGATATAATAATGAGCATGTACCAGTTGCCCCCAAAAGTACCTTTTTTTATACCAAATCCCCCCAAACTACCTAGAGGAAAAAGTACCAGTTGCCCTCAACCAAATGTACCAGTTGCCCTCACATGTTAATATATACACAAATACAATATATAGCTCTTAAAATAAGGGAGGTAAATGTACAAATCATAAATAAAATATAAAATTCAAAATTATAATAATTTGTTAATATAAAATAGTACAAAATCAAAATATAATAATTTGTCAACATATAAGTTGTATAAAATTCAAAAGTATTATGTTTTGTTATAATAATTACTAACCGATTTAATACCGCTAATATTTTTGTTTTTATATTTATTTTATCGGATACAATAATTGACGGATTGAATTCAAGTTCAAAGCCAGAGCATTTTTCTTTTAACATACTTATTAAAAATCCATACGTTTTCGATGATTATATCCACTCAGACGCATTTAAAATTACATGGTATGTTGACAAATTATTATAATTTTGAATTTTATATTTTATTTATGATTTGTGTATTCACCTCCCCTATTTTACGATATATATATTGTATTGTGTATATATTAACATGTGAGGGTAACTGATACATTCAATTGGGGGCAACTGGTATATTTTTAAAATCGCGATAATACCCTTGGGGGGCAACTGATAAACACCCATAATAATTGCTACGAGCAATAATCTTTTTTTCATACCCTCTGTAAAAAAGTTTCACTTATCCGTGAGTAGTATTTTTTTGTTAATTATTTCAATTTAATGATATAGACTACCTATGACTGAAATATATATCTGTTACGGTCAAAAGCCGAAATCGGGCAAACCTCAGAAATGCCCGGGCAAAACGCGAACTGCCCACAATCCTTGGGCAAAATGTCATATTTCGGCTTTTGACCGGGCAAACCTAGTTATGACCAACCTCATTTGGGCAAAACCGTATACTGACTTTTATCGTAATGGCAAAACCGTAGTGTCTTATATACGTTCTATAATATTAAATATAAATAGTGATTTTTGTCGTACGAATTTATTACGATTATAAATGACCCCACGTATCTTGTTAATTTATCGTTGTTATCGTATTTTATCAACTCGTTACCTATATTAAAGGTACACAAAATACACCTTATCTAAATGATACAATATTGTACCGTAGTTACTGTAGTTCGTATTTTTGTGAGCTTATATTAGTACGTCTTTAGCAATGGCTAACGTAATGTGTGTGTCTGATTTTAAAACTAAATTTGAATTAAAACTTAAAGAAATTACAAAAAGTGAATGCAGTGCTCTAATAAGCGATACAAGATATGATGAACTCATAAAAGAGGTAGAACAAGCGAAGGTCAATTCCAAGAAAACAACGAGCGAATACAGGAGACTAAATAGATTTGACGTACTCACAATCGGTGAGTCTAAAAAATTAATAGTTCCACCAAGTAAAACCAATGGTGACATTATTTATTTTGTAAAATGCAATGAAATGTTCGATATATTACACATGGCTCATATAAATTGTGGTCATGGTGGTCGAAACCGAATGGAGCATTCAATAAAACAAAAATACAAAAATATTACCAGGGATATAATTGTATTATATTTACAGTTATGTGAAATATGTAATAAAAAACACGCTCATCCCAAAAAAGGTTTAGTAATAAAACCAATTTTATCTAAAACTTTTAATTCTCGTGCACAAGTCGATCTGATAGATATGCAAAGTAATAAAGATGGTAATTTTAAATTTATCTTGGTTTACCAAGACCATTTTACTAAGTTTGTTTCTTTGCGACCTTTAAAAACAAAAACTGCAAGCGAGGTTGCATACAATCTTATAGATATTTTTTGTATATTTGGAGCTCCGTGCATACTACAATCAGACAATGGTAGAGAGTTTGTAAATCATATTATAAATGATTTAGTTCTAATGTGGGATGGCTTAAAAATTTTATACGGGAAGCCACGTCATTCGCAAAGCCAGGGGAGTGTTGAGCGAGCTAACCAGGACATCGAAAAAATCATTTATGCTTGGATGGAAGAAAATCAGTCTAGAAAGTGGAGTGAAGGATTGAGATTTTGTCAATTTGCCAAAAATAATGCTTATCATGCTGGCATCAAACAACCTCCATATGAAGCTATGTTTGGAAAAAAAGTTAGTCTTGGATTAAAAATGTCATTTTTACCCAATGATATAATTAATAATGTAAATGACGAAAATGTCTTACTTCAATTTGTAGAAAACGAAAATGAAAATGAAATGGATGTATTAAATGGAAATGAAAATGAGATGGAGGTATTAAATGAAAATGAAAATGAAATGGAGGTATTAATTGAAAATGAAAATGAAATGGAGGTATTAATTGAAAATGAAAATGAAATGGAGGTTTTAAATGAAAATGAAAATGAAATGGAGGTATTAATTGAAAATGAAAATGAAATAGAGGTTTTAAATGAAAATGAAAAAATTTTAGTCAACCTATCTGAACAAAAACAAAATTTTAAAAAAGCACGGGAAAAGGCTACTGATGGATTAGTTGCGCAAGCAAAAAAAATGAAATTACTGAGTGAAAATCTATTTCCACCTCTAACAGTCGAAACGACAGTGAAAATTCCAGTGCCTTGTGTTGATAGAGGAAAAGTCGATGCGAATAATGTGTTAGGTGTTATATTAAGTGTTACTGATGATGGATTCTATAAAATAGGAACCAAAAATGGAATTTTGTCATCACTTTATGCCAGAAACCAAATATTTCAATGCAAGGAACAATTTATTAGTAGCAATGATGTACCGAATATCGAAATACCACTGAGGACTGCTAGTACTCAAAATTCATTAACTGGAGGACAAGGGTTTATTTTTTGTTCTTGCAAAACTAAGTGCACTACGAGACGATGCAAATGTAAACAACTAAATATTTTGTGTAGTTCTAAATGCCATGGTTCTAATATGTGTAGCAACAAATAAACAAAAATATTATTTTTTTATTAAACGAGTACTTAACATCATTATATTTTTATTATTATTTAAGTGTATTCAATTATATCTGTACAATATTTTTTATTAATTATTTATTTTAACATTATACGAGTACGTAATATTATTATTATTTAAGTGTATTCAATTATATCTGTACAATATTTTTTATTAATTATTTATTTTAACATTATACGAGTACGTAATATTATTATTATTTAAGTGTATTCAATTATATCTGTAATCAATTATATTTGTATTTAATATTATAGAACGTATATAAGACACTACGGTTTTGCCATTACGATAAAAGTCAGTATACGGTTTTGCCCAAATGAGGTTGGTCATAACTAGGTTTGCCCGGTCAAAAGCCGAAATATGACATTTTGCCCAAGGATTGTGGGCAGTTCGCGTTTTGCCCGGGCATTTCTGAGGTTTGCCCGATTTCGGCTTTTGACCGTAACATATCAATGATTCAAATAAAGAGACACATAGGTATCTCAGTAACCTGTATATCATACTGTAATCCAAATCAACAAAAACAAATAACTGTTGTAGGTACATTTCAAAAATAATAAACAAAAATCAATACCTTATAAGCTAATATATTTACATACATATTTTTTTTCTAGAACGACATTTAAATGAGCTCCAAATTACACACGGCTAAAGAAATAATAATTGTTGACACGCACTACCACCAAAAGTAGCTAAATCCGTCAATATTAAAATTAAAATTAATTTTACTCAATGTAAGACAGTATTTACTTCTCTATAGTTAAATAATGTGTTTATATGTCATTATATTAATCAGTTTTGTGAATGGTTTTTATTTGTTTGCTTGTCAACAATTAATAAATAATATGTATAATATTAATTTATTTGACATATCTATGCGTACACCTCTAAGTAATTAATGTGTCCGATGAAGTAACACTTTAAAAAATAGCTACTCGAACAGAGCTCGAACACACTCGTGTATTATTAAAATATACCAGTCATGGGACCTATGCTTTTGAATAATGAATCATGATCATTTACATCATGGGCTGATGATATTATTTAAGCTGTATATTATACAAGTATGATAAACATTTTAAGAAAATAATAACTTTCCAAACAAGGAATAATTTTTTTATTTAAGTTTTGGCTTGTTTATGTAGTTACTAGTAAGTCGACTATCAGTCTATCAAGTCTATCATTTCCTAATTTCATTGTACAAATTAAATTTGTGATTAAATAACAAAAGAACTAAACTAATTATAAATTATGTATATAAAAATTATAAAAAGTACAAAAATAAGAGCACCATCACTCCAGCACCCCAAGTTGTAATTTTGTGTAGCAAATTTTAACAAAAATATGTACTTACCATTTTGTAACAAAATGTAACCACAACAACTTTTTCTGTAACTTACAATTAAGTTCAGCATACTGAACTTAAATTCCGGATATTCTTAAAGATGATCAGTTTGGTTTAAAATGTTGAGAAGATTATGTAACTATTTTGTAGCCAAGTGTAATCCAAAATTAAGGTGCAATACTTCTATTTATTATTTTTTAATTTTTTTTTTTTAAATATAGTGTTTGTATTTATATTATGTTATTTATACGTTGTATATTTATGTTTATATTTATAGTTTTAAATTTATCAAATCCAACTTTGGTTTGGTTTTTGAAAAGTAATTGCTATCGTTTTCAATAACTTTGATATAGACAATCATGTATTTCATCACAGCTCGATGGCGATATGTCAATATGTTATATTATTATGTCTGAAGTGTTAGTTTTATATGTATTACAAAAGATCTCCTCAAAACAAATCTTCTAAATTTAGAGAGTGTTAGTTGAATATGTAGTAAGTTCTTTAAATATTTCACATAGTATAAATAAAGGAGATTGCTGTGAAAATAATATACTTGAAGACTAGACGAGATTTAGGATAGTTCTACCGAGGGTTAAGTTGTATCAATTTCTTGATTGTATTTAAATTGTTCTAATAGATGGAGTAAGATTCATGGTTAAAAACCATATACCTATAAAGATAGACAATTTTATTGTTTCATCCACAATTTCATAGGTTAGGTTATGTTGGTGACTTCCATGAAGAAGACATTGAAAGTCCAAATATTAGAAGATCGCATCCAGAGCACTCTTTCTACTCAGATATCTATCCAAAATATTTTTGCTTGGTCAGACTCTTCGGTGGTACTATCTTGGTTAACACACCACATGTTTCGTATAATGTTTTTGTATCTAACCATATCCATAAGATACATGAATTTTTACCGTCCTGTCGTTGGTTTTATATCAGCACTGAGATGAACTCGGCAGATTGTGCCTCCAGAGGTTTGGGGCCTTGTGAGCTAGCTCAGAAAGATCTTTATTGGAGAGATCCTACTTTCCTCCATCAGTTCGGCGAGAGTTGGTCGTCATAAGTTAATTTATTCCTCTCAGATCTGTTGTCTGAGGTTACAGGTCCTGTGCCTTGTGTTGTTGAAACAACAGGGAAGTAAATTGAGTGGTTCTCTCGCTTCTCGTCTCTGAATCGTATGTTAAGAGTTATTCGTTTCAGTTATTCGGGTTTTCTATATTTAATCCATGATGGGTTTTCACTCTGCCCAATGGTATCCTAAGCAAGCAGCCCTACTATATTATAATACTATATTTAGACATCGTCATTTCCGACTTATTTTAGTAATTGAATTATGGTAAATCAGATGGGATAATCATTCTATTTAATATTAAGTTAATTCGAAAAAAAAATCTTTATTCATTTAAAATTATAGTAATCACAACCTGGCAAATAATAAAATAATATATTGGTCTAATAATAACTGCAGGTCAATAAATATAGCTATAAAATTTCCATGACTAATTGACGGATGACGGAGGACCCGGGAGTAGATCGGGTAACCCCAGCTAGTTATGAATAAAATTTGCATTCTTTTAATTCAATTCACACTTAGAATAACAAGATATAGAGTCTTACAGTAAACAAAATTAACACAAAAAGATGAATTTGGAACAAAGTTATTATTATTTTAGTGTCCCCCTGTAAAATTTGATTTTTGAGGGTTACCTTAGTTGGCCTTTCGACAGACGACATTTATGTTCGTATTGACATACAAAATTATGATGATGTTAACATTCTTGATTACATAGCAATATCTGTTGCATTTTTTACTATATATTCTATTTTTTTGTACTCCTTAAATGTTCAGATTTATCACACATTTGTACATACATTTGTATTTATTTTTATTTTTATTATTGTATAGTTTATCACAATTTTCAAAATAATAAGTGAACATTTAATGCAAGACTCTTGATAACTTGTTACAATAGCAGTTGAAAAATGTTAAAACTACATAGGCACGATTTTTTTTTATTGGCATTTAAAGTTCAAATTTTGACAATATTTTTCAAGTTGAAAATTGAAAATAATTTTGTAGTTTAAAATGTATAGAATGTTCAATTTTTATAGCTAAGAATTAAAAATTTAAAACAAGGTTCCACTTAAGCTGTTTTTTCCATAACTAATAAATCTAAAAAATATATTAATACAATTATTTTTTATAGACATTTTAAGTTAAAATTTGGACAAAATTGCATATTCACACAAATAATAATGGTTGTCATTTTGTTGTAATTCAGTTCCAAAACAGCCCAATTTTACATAGGTATATTTAATATTTTTCCACCATCACTGATAATTTAAGAATAATATTAATTTAACTTACCGGCTACCATATTAATAATAAATATTAACAATATAAAACATCCTAAACTGACATACCGTCCCCACTCAGAATCGTCTTTCGTATACAATATCATATAATAATGATATCATTGAATTCAAATTTAATACCATCCATTACAGTGACCTCTTAGACACCTAATGTACAGCAGATAGCGACATCCACTTACTCGCTTTTTATAGTTATAATTATATGATGCAAAAAGCTTGTTTTAATGAGTTTACTTTGATTATGAAGATATTTATTGTGGTACCTCTATATGGCGCTAAGATAATGCTATTTTTACATTTTTTTAAAAATATTATGTTGAAACATAACGATTTGTTGTGTCTTTGTGAGTTATCATGAGGTTAATTTCATTAAGCTTGAGTTCGATTTATCGGTAACGCAGATGTTATATTATGTTTGGGGAAAAAAACAACATTCAATACCTTTTTACTGTAGACTGTAGGGAGCCGTTTTTTTTTTACTCATTTTTTGAATTTACTATAATATTGTACCTACCTACAATTTAGGTATAATATTATTATCATTATTATTAACATAACTCATAAGCTCAAGTAATATAATATAACTAGATATACAGTGTGGGTGTCAGGTGACACAGATTGAAAAAGTTCAGGGTTTTTCAGAACGTTTCCAAACATTTAAACACTTTTGATTAGGTTTTGGAAGCTCACTAAACAAATTCCCATGTATTATGAGTGTATACTCGATAATGTGGAATGATTATCTATAAGTAGCTAGGTAGGTACATAACATATTTTCGAATGGCGACAAAAGAGTCTGACAAAAAGATTAGATCATGGAGATAGGTGCCTACAACAACTGACTGAAAGATTTTTGAATTTATCAATTTTATTAATTTTTCTAAACATTCATTCATACAACTTGTTTATTTCAATCATTTTGACGATAAATATAATTTCTTCGGTAGTTACAAATTGCAGCTCTAACGTATTCTTCGTCGTGAAGGTGGTGCGCAACATATGTCAACCGGATCCTTCCGTGCTTGAAATAAAATAGAGTTTATGGTGCATTTTAAATATCTCACAATTTTCATAAAATATTTTTGTAGATTTAACGATGCTCCGAGGTATACTACAAAGCAAAATAACGAAAAGAAGCATATAAGACACATTTTGTCGGATTTATTTTTATTTTTACGAAATGTATTACAATTCACTAAATAAATTCAACAATAATGTGTTGTTAAGATGATTTGTGTAGTATAATATTATTGTTGCTGTTTACAAGCCGACTATATTTTTTTAAGTTAAATTTTTTAACAGTTATAGTTCAATAATAGTCTTAGACAATATAATAGTATATCTACATCAACCAATTATTATGATATTTCAAACAATTAAATAGCGGATACATACTATACATTAATAGTAATTGTTGTATTCGTGACTTTGTTGTTTTCATAAATATAAGTTATATTATAGGTACATAAACTGTATATAATATATGTATGTATGTGTGTATATATGTATGCATATTTTAAAGAGTTACTAATTTCTTGTCTTTTGAATACTTGTTCTGATAATGGTACATGATTATGATGGTTTAACTTACTTTCGTTAAATATTACTTCATCATTTTCATCTACTTTTAAAAATGCTTTACATATTTTTGTTGTACAGTTCCACCGTTGTTTGTCGAAGGCCATCTTCTTTTGAAAACTAAATTTAAAACCTTTAATTATTTTAACACATTTTCCCTTTTCACTTATCATGTATCACATTTTTCATTTAACCATTCTAAAAACTGAGGTAACAATTTAAAACCGCTTAAAAATTATAATATCGAACAATTCGTACAACGAGAACGAGTGTTGGAAATCTACTAAATGTTACTCGATCACGTATATTATGTACCTACTAATTACTATGGTCTGATTCAGGTTTGGTTTGCATTAAATCTTATCATTACACAGAAGAGTATATTATCTTAATGTTTAGTCATTAGATATACTCGTATCAAATATCAAATATGACAAAAGTCATAAATTACGACTTTGAAATAACAAACTTATTTTGATACAATATGATATGTTTGAAATTGTTTAGAACCTTTTGTATATTTATTACCTGGCTATTAGAAGGTTACTAGTACTACACCCTTTTCGTTTAGTACACAATTTAGGGTAAGTCGGAAGCCAATTTGTATAAAAATTATTGACCTTTTGACTTCGGGAGGTAACTAGTGTCGACCCGTTTCAACAGTTATCTGATCAGCATCGTTTTTGGAATGCCATAATTTATTATAGCTCTCAGATTTAATATTCTGCCAAGCCGAGCGAGACGAGACAGCGCCAAACACACACGGTGCTTATACTCTGCATGGTTTTTTGTTCATTACTACGTTCATATAATTTTACAAATAAGCGGGTTACTACAAAATGTTACAATAATTATTGTATTTAGATAAGAGCATTCTATTCGTTGTTATAATTTTCGTTCAGTGTGGAGTGCCTTTAATTTATTTACATTTTGATATAATTTAGCGATTCAATTTATTATGCAGACAAACAAAACATATGTGAATTATTATAGAAATATTGGTATGTAATGGTATTAAAATAAACTGACAAGATATTAATTACTGGTAGGTAGTCCTAATTTAAAACGACATTAAAACTAATAATAATTATAATTAGGTTAAGAATAAAAATATAAACAATATGTAAAATGTAATTCCTTTGTGATGATTCATACTATTCCAAAATAAATCTGATAAAAAATATATAATATATACCTGGTTAAAATTTTAGGTATTGAAAAATCAATTCAAGTGTCCACAATTACTTTAAAAAGAATAAAAATATTTTTATGCATTTTGTAGTATCTACTGTTCTTCAGTAAATACAAAAAAAATTGATTTTATGAAAGACTGGTTGTTAGTATATATTTTCGTTTATTCTTATTTTTTTTGTTAGATGCTTTTCATCTTTTACATCGTAAAAGCCACATGTATGTTGCTTAGTTTTGCATATTTTGTAGATTAAAAACCTGGTTTAAAGAAAAAATGGGCAAGGAACGAGGCTTAGATTTATTAAACATTCACAGAGATATTGAAGTGGACGTCCAATTAATCATAGATCGATTTTCGGGAAAAAAATATATTTATATTACTATGAAAATTTTTCCAATTTGTATAATATGTATTTTTAAAAAAAATGTTATTATAACAAATCAAGGCTTCGACTGAATTGATGTTGTATTTGGAATATTACATGCTTTTAAGTTCATAAATAATTTATTTTTATAACAGTCAATAAATGTCAATTAACACGTGAAACAATTAAATAATAAAAAGGTTAAAAATAAATAAAAACGTTCATTTCCTTCGGTTCAGGTTAAATGATTTTAAATAAATTGGTATCTTTAATGACATTATTAGGTAGGTTGATAATATTTGGAAGTTTGTTATTGTGGCATTCGAAGGTTAGGAATGTTTTGCAATGTGGAATGTTCCAAATAATTAGAAAAATTTGACTTCCTCAGAGAGGAGTCCTCGCAATATTTTGTGATGTACCTATTAACATTTTTAAATAGAGCCCCTCTTGATTGAGCTCCAACTACGCTACTGGTATATTTTTTATACAAAAAAAAAAACGATATCTGTTTATTAGTTCCAATTTACAATATCAACACTTTACCGATATTCGAGGTTTATAATTGCAGTCGGCTAACAGTTAATAACAAGTATAGCTACTTTCAAAAAAATAAAAAAAAGATACATATGGCATAAAACTGTTTGAACTCGACAGAAAATCTGTAAAAAAAAAAAAACAAAAAAATTTCTATGAGCCGGTACAATTTATGACCTATAAACGAAGACCACGAATAGCGAAATCTCATTGTCTTCAGTCTTGTCGCCCCTCTTTCGTATGTAGGAACGGTTTAGCAACGCGACGGAAAACGTATTGCACCTTCATATCCATGTATTAGGTATGTATATACTGTATGTATATATACGTATATGTGCACGGGCACGCGTTATCCGGTCGTCGGTTGAATTGATTTTCGTCGAGTGTGCGAAAATGTATGTTTGCATGACTTTTTACATTGCGGTTAAGCAATACATTGAAACCTCTCCGCAGACCGCCCCGACCGCGCCGTGATATCCCACACTTGTTGTTACCGTCACCTGTATACTACATTGCTGCCAGTCAAGTCCAACCATACCATCACGCATACAACATTGCTATCGATATCATCGGGTATTGTGCAAGGGTGTTGACGAGAAGACGACGATGTGAGTGTAAAATAATATCTCGAGTTCTTGAGACTTTAAGATTAGTCTTGTGTGACTACGGTTTGTTTGGCTTGCAGGTACAGTACCAATCAAGATTCTTTTTGGCAGTTGTTCTGTTGGGCAATACTCCTCCAAGCCGCCGGAGGAGCAAAGCCAAGACATTCCGTCCATTTAGACCCTCACTGGAACAATTTTAAGGTCAGTATATAGCCAGGTAACATATCTGACGGTAGCTATTCAACTAAAATATGTTTAATTTTGGTTTATTTAAAAAAAAAAAACCAAAGTGACTTTACTAAGACAACTTGTGTAGGTATATTGTGAAGTTAGAGAAAAATGATAAAAATAATTTCAACAATTCTGTATAATCTCATGAAATTGGGGGTTTATTCATTTTTTTTTTTTATTTATATTCTTAATGTTAAATTTACCATGAATTTTGACATCAAGTCGGTCTATATCGCCTTGAAACTCATATTGCGTATTTGCAAGCTTATAAGTCCGATCAACCTTAACATTGATACCTTATAGGACTGTTATGTTGCCTGGGGCTCGTGAGATGTTAGCTCTAATAAAAGTGGCGATCTGTATATTATAGTGATGTAGCGACCAAATATTGTGTCTTGGGCGAAACCTCAAAATTCCAACCAGGTGATATATTTAATTTTGTACAGTATACACGGGAGTGAAGTTAATCCCCTCAAAAATGTATGAATTTTATACATTTACCTAGATAGGTTTACACCGATTTACTATTTATGATCAACAAATATACAATTACAATAACAATATTAATTTAATTAATTTAACTAGTCTATAAATATTATACATTAAAAATAACGTAAGATTTCGATTGTAATTTTTAAATAGCAATTTAAAAATGTGTTTATAGAACTAATAATTTACAATTTGATTGTTTCATTAAACTTTTGTCTGAAAGTTTATGCATACTGTCATTAAAATATTATATTTCACTATATCATATATATCTCTCAAATAAAATAAGCCAAATTTTACCTTTTGATGATAAACAAATTATTTTAAATTAGGTTTTTGGACATTTGCAATAATCATTTATATATCCGGATAAAACACGTTTTTACCGAATTTTTATAAAATTATGTTTTGATAAAATATTAATGTAATAATTTGTTGAATGTGAGACAAATTAAATGATTGTTTTATTTTTGTAGTTTCCAAATGGGGAACATAAATAGTATATAGTAGTACAATATTTTAACTTAATTGATCTATACATTCAAAGACATTTTTATGCAAAAATGTATGACATAAAATACAATTACTTATATAAGTATATAAAAGAATTCAAACTCTTTTCTTATTTTAGATGAGGTGAATGATGAATGATGTATTGGTTTCACAATTAAATGTGTTACTTTAATGTACATGCATATTCCTTTTTTCATAACATTAAAAATGTTTAGTTTTTTGATTCTGAGGGGAGATATGAATGTATTGATTTTAATATTTTACAACGATGTGTGTTTTTTATTTTTTATTTGTGTGTCTGTCATCACGGTTTGTTGCAGTAAAAATGTTTCGATTTTCTTCAACAGCAACTTTTCTGGAAGAAAAGTGAATCAAGTTGATGCATTCAGGAGGCCAAAATTTAAAATTTCGAATAGTTTTCAAAAGCGACATTAAAAACAAACAACAAATTAAGGAAACACAGGAATTTTTACGAAAACTATGTAGAACTATTTATAGGCACATGAAATCGTCGATTATTCTTTGGTTTTTTTTAACTAATGTTGATTAACAGTTTTTCAAAAAACTTAAAAATGTAATACAAGGTTCCTCGTAAACTTTTGTTAGTGGAAATTAAAAAAAAAATTGGGAGTAAATCCACAATACATTTTTAGTAACGTTTGAAGTTAACATTTTTAAAACATAGAATATTCACTCGATGTTTTATAAAGCGATTTTCTTATTTTATTGTAATTCAAAAGGAAATAACAGTAAGCACTTGAAGTTTATACTATATATTTATTTCATCAATTCATATACTTGATAAAATTTTCAAAATATTTTGATTTGTTTTAAGCTGTTGACGGATATTTTCAATTTTCATTTTTTTTCTATAAATGTCAATAAAACTTTATTTGTTGTGTCAAAAATTATAAAAAATGAATACAAGACTCTTGATATATTGTTACAATAAAAATTGAAAAAGTTAAAAATACATTGGCACAATTGTTTTTATAAGCATTTAAACTTCAAATATTGACTCAATTTCTTACATTGAAAATTGAAAAATAATTTTGTTGTTAAAAGTGTATAAAATTTTTGTAGCTAAGCATTAAAAATTTAAAACTAGCAGTTTCTTCAGTAACTAAAAAAATCGAAAAATTAACATAAACCCAGCTTTTTATAGTAATTTTAAGTTCAAATTTCGACAGAATTTCATATTAACACAAAGAATAACGATTTTATTAATTTTGTTGCGATTCGGTTTCAAAACAGCCAAATTTTACATAATTATATATAATATTTTTCCAACCTCACTGATAATTTATTTCAGATTTTAAATAATAATTCAATTTACCGGTTACCGTATTAAAATAAGTAATAACAATATAAAATATCCTAGACCGTCTCATTTTATATCATTGAATTCAAATTTAATACCATCCATTTCAACGACCTTCTAGACACCCAATATACAGAACAGCGACATCCACTTACCCGCTTTTTAACCTTGAGGATAGTTGCTAGAATCAAATTAAATCTATTTAGAACTACTAGTCGAAACTAAAAATTAAAAATCGTAAGTAGTTTTTAAAATAATGCTAAAAATAAAATTAAAAACTGCCGTAACACCAAAAGTGTAACTTTCCTTTTACACCATTACCCGTTTCCACCAAAAGTATTCCTTTCCATTTTACACCAAGACAAGTTATATATACTACGCTTATAAGTTATAAAAGCTGTTAAAATGTAATAAATTAAGATACAACATAACAAAATTGAACAAAATTAATAACAAAAAACATTGTACAATAATATGGTATAAAAGTTAGGGCGAGGAAGCTAGTGATAATATAACTGTCTTCCGGTATTAACCAATTTTTTAAACCTATATTGTGTTTAATACAATATAATACAACAAATTTATTAATTAAAACAAAATATTATTTTAAATTTCGGGTACGATTTTGTGAAACCGATGTCATACAATTTTTAAAAAAATATCCACGAATTATTATAAAGTAACATTTTACTATTATACAATAATATTAAATCTTTTTTTTATTATTAAATTTGTACTATTATTAGCATTATTATTATTATTACAAGGTAACATTTTACTACGTACAATATTTTACATGAATAAACTTTATCTAACAATTATAAAATTAATTATTATAAATATTATTATTATAAGGTAACATATACATCTATATTATGGTGTATATTAATTTATTACTTTTTAACAGCTTTTAATATAATTTATAAGCTTAGTATATAACTGGTGTTGGATAGAAACGATTATTGGTGGAACGAGTACCACCCTTAAAAACAGATGTTCTTACTAAAAACTAGTTTTTGATAAAATGATTTTGTTTTTGTTTGTAATTCTGAAATGAATAAATGTCAATGTATTAAAATATTTGCAATGATAGTTTATATCAGCAATATTTTTAGTAATATTACTCAACATTTTATATTCCAAATTTAGATATTTAAAATTGTCTAATTTTAGTTTTTCGATTTATGTATTATGCATGCAAAACTTTTTTTTTTGGTTAAAAAATGATAGAAAATATGATATCCGGTTTCTCATATGAATTGTTCTTACATGAATAAAATAGATCGAAAATATATAGTCACACAATCCTTTATATAACAATTTTAAGTACAAATATTTTTACGAAATTCATCAAAACCACTGATTTGTTATTTATTAATATCTATTAGCTTTGAAAATTTAAAACAAAACTTTATAAGTTTATATGATTGTAAATTAAATTAGACATTCAAGAGATATTCAAATGTATCATAACGATTTATACTTAATCTGGAATTGAGCCTCAATATGCTCAGTGGAACCTTTTATATTTTATTATTTTGTTTTAATTCAAAAAAAAAATTATAGCAGAAACTGGAAACAAATTTCAACTAATATTAAATTATTATTTTCTGTACACATTAAAATGTTCAAAATATTTAAATTGTTTATTTTATTTTCTAAATTAATTGATAGTAAGAGTAAAGTAAACTATACTGCTCTGCTGAGCTGTAGCTAGGCGTTGAGTGTACATCGCCAACGAGTAAGTACCGTAATACATGTGTTGATTTTGAATTCAATGATAATATAATATAATTTTGTTAAGAACAATGGTTTTGAGCATCATGGACTATCAATATTTATTTATATAATATATTTCATGATAATATGTTTTTTGATTTTGCTATTGAAGAAATTTAGTTTTACTTTTAATTTAGGTACTATTAGTAGGTTGATTAAATTCTTTTTGTAAACATTGTATTTATTTAATTACTATAACAGTATAGTATCTATAAATATAGATAATTTATTATTGGTATTAATGAGCTAATACCACCTTGCCATAGAATTGGGTAAAATATAAATTTGTCGTCGATGCGTGTGTAAATATGTGATGAATAGAGCAATGACTCATGCATTTGCATGTTTTTTCTGGTTTAGTTAAACGTATGCAGAGTAAATACACAATACCTTTCACACCGTTTATGGCCAAAAGCTAAAAGTTTTTAGTGCATATTTTAAGCTTTTAGTGCATATTTTGATGGTATATCGACAATCGAGCACTTTGGTGAGTATTTTCCATGAATCAAGATCAACAATTTGCCATAAACTTATAAAGACGATAGAGATAAATTTTATAGTATCAAGTAACTATCTGTAGTCAGTGGGTGGATTAGATTAGTTCTAGTAGATTTGCCACGTGTGTGTAAGTTCCGCTAGTTTAATTTGTATATAACGTTCGTGAGTAATATGCCAAAAGAAAAATTCGACTAAAGCTTATTGTTTGTGTAATTTTGTAATCGAGTTTGGTGAATCTGTATTTTCAACGGATAATAATTAAGAAGAATGGGATCCGACATTCAAAAAAAAATTAAAAATCAATTTACTTATAGTGAATAATAATGAAATTAATTTTTTTAAGGGCATATTTAACCGCATATTTTAAATTTTTTAATACATAAGTGCATGTTTTTAAATGCATATTTGATGATTTTTTAGTGCATGTTAGTCCTTGCTCTAGTGATGAAAATGTCAAGTTATTTTTTATTTGAGTAGGTAGGTGCCTATTTTTCAAGATTGGGCAGGAACTGTAAGTGCGTAATGCTAACATACAGAACCGTTACGATGGTAAATGAATCAGTATTAAGTTCATTAAATGTATATAAATTCATTAATTCTACAAACGATGACGTTAATTACGTACAGGATATCTGTTACATCTCCAAGGTCTGCGTATGTTTGAAAACTCGCGTAGTCAATAACAAAATATAATGTTGTCTAGGTCCCTAAGTTGTTAGTCCAAATAATCAAAGCAAAACCGAGGGTATAGCATGAATTAATAATTTAACGAATAATCTTGTTAATTATTTGCGAATAATTTGGCCCAAGACTCCATGAATTTCTACTTTGCCCAAAACATCATGCCGCTGCAGTTATATAGGTCACGGTAATTCCTTATCCTAGCCCTTAAAATGTATGTATATACGAAGAATCAATTTTAAAACGAAAAATAAATATATATTTATTATTTGACGAGTTTCTTTCCCCGTCGGTCCATTTTAGATGAGTAAAAAGTTTTTACACCAATATTTTCTGGTACATCGACACGTGTTGAGATCTACCTAAACCTAAAGTAAAAAATAGATAAACAGATTAAATTTTATATGTGCAATGAACTTTATTCTTTATATATTTTTTTAAAGTTTATCATTCACAGTGTACATAATGTAATAAAATGCTTGTAATAACGCAAAAAAAAAGTACTTATAAATATAATATTATTAACAATAATGTGGTGTGTTGTAGAAATTTACTAATTTTAAGTGGTGGTCATCTTCGATCTCCGTCGCCATAACAGTAGACGGCTGCAACTTGTACTGTACCTATACGCCATATATAATTTTTTAATGAATTTTCAAGGTTATAAGTAAACCTCCGTTTACTCAAAAGAAGAAACTCGTTGATAAATATTATATTATAGTCATAACAATCAGGCATCAGCCTACCTTTTTTGATAGCAAACATAGGCTAGGTACGTAGCATTAATTTTATCATTAATTATTATAATAGTATATATTTAGATCATATAATATTGTTATTAACCTTTGAGTCAGTTCTGACTTGCAGTGGAACTGTGTGGGTCTTCTGTAGGTTCATGTCTTCGTGGTAAAAATAGACAGTAGCTTAAAATTAATCAAAATATTTTGAAAATTTCATTGACCATTGTCTACATAAATTGTTTTTAGACAATAATCAATGGCTTAGTACGTAGTCGTCGTTAGTGTACGTGTGTTGATAATATTCTAAAATAGATAATACTCCCCCGAAAATAAGAACGTACATCGATGATTATGTTAAATTTGGTTTTACGTTTATTGAAAACGTGAAAACGATGATATCCAAAAGCCTCAGTGTGTTGAGTAACGGTGCCCTTCAACCAAAACGACTAGAACCACAGCTTATCCGATGCTAAAAGAAAAACCTAAAGAGTTTTTGTTGCTAAAAATAATGCTCCAAGTAAAATGAAACTATACAAGTAGTCATGCCAGATAATGAATAGTTTCTTTGTTAGATACTAATATAAAAAACGGGAATATTTTTTTTCAATGTATAGACAGAGGAGCGAGTTTTACGAAAATGTATAAAGGAGGCGTAGGATAGAAGATATTAGGAACCTCTGTTATTAAATATAATAACATAAGTAAAAGTTTCACGTCTCCACAAATAATATTTTTGAACTATAACAACTGAGAAATAACTAACATTGTTATTCTTCGTTTAAATATCTAATTTTGTCAAAATGTAAACTCCCACGGTCTATAAAAGTGTGGTAATTTATTTTTTTAAATTTAAAAGTTAACTTATTCACGAAGAACTTTGCATAAAATGTCGAAGCCTTAGCTCTAAATAACGTTCTACATTTTTTAATCACACAATAATTTGATATTTTTCGAGATTTTATCAACATATGATTTCACATGCTTATAAAAAAAATTAAGTGCCTGTGAATTTTAAATATTTTTTAATTTCTATCAGAAAAATTAATGTAGCAATATAATACCTACTTTAAAATAATATGTCGAAATATATTAAAAATCTTATTGTGTATTAATAATTACCTCACACAATAACGAAAAGTCTCTGAAATTAATATTTTTTTAATAGCAACAAAAAATAAATCACTATGAGGGATATTGTCATTATAATTTGCATATTATTCATTTCGCCAACACTTTAACTTCAAATGTGAGTTACGTCAGTGGCGTGAGCAGAGGGCCAATAGGCTGAACCCCCTCCTCCATTTGCCGTATTATTAATACTATTTAAAAATGATAATTAAATTTCAACTATCATCAACTATTTAACAAGGACGTAAATTCATAAACATTTTTAGATGGATCAATTTTTTTCAAATTATTCCTACATAAAGAGTTTTGTTTTTTTTAACGAAATTGACAAAATTAAACACAAATTTGAATTTCTTCATAATTCATTTAGAACAAAATTCTATTTTATGATTACTGGAAATAATATAATTTGGTGCCAAATAATAATTATTATAATTGTATTTAGTTAACTTAGTAGTAAAAACTAAAAAGTAATTAGAACACAGAATACAATGTATTTGTTTATCTTATGAAATGTTCAAAGTTTTTCCCTTTATATTCTAACATGACTCAAGTCACCTTAAAAATTCAGTCAGTTTCTTTTTTGGTTTGGTTCTCTCTTAAAATGTTACATGTTGCCTGTATTTCGCTTTTTAAGTCCTGGAGATTGATTGGTGGATCCGCGTAAACCACAGTTTTTAGAAGTCCGAATAAAAAAATCTATTGGCGTTAAACACCTGTAAGTTTCAATCCAGCCGTTCGGGAACATTTGATTCAAATGCTGCCTAAAAATTATTACATTGTGAGCTGGTACACCATTTTGCTGTCGGAACACATGATCTTAAGTGTCTAACGGAATATAATCCAACAGTATTATTAGTTCGTTAGTTACAACATTTAAATATCGTCTACTATTAAGAGTTCCATCATAAAAGTACTATCCTACAAGCTTTCCGTTAATAACCCCAAACATATATTCATTCCCCAGACCGTTTGAAAATCAGTGTCACTTGACCAGTGAGGGTTTATATCATTCAAATCCCAGTATCTATGATTTCGTTCGTTCATAATATTATTGTTTGTACATTTTGATTCATCCGTCCAAAGAATGTGATTGAAAATTAAAGGGTCATTATGAAATTGAGTACTAAACCACGCTATAAATTCCAACCTATGGATAGAAACTCTTATACCCAAATGTTGGACAAATTCCACTTTATATGGGTGCATTTTGTGTTTTTTTTAGAACTTTTTGGACAAAAACATATGAAACTCCAATTTTGAGGGCAACATAATATGTCTAAGTCACGAACTAGGATTAGCTCGTACGTGTGCTAGTACTTGTAACTCTGTATTTTCATCAACCATATTTACTCCTTTGTCGGTTAATCTGCTCGGAAATCTTAAATCTTTATTTAACCATTGTAAAACGTTGTATTACAAATTAGTTAAAGTATTGTATCTTTATTTGTATCGTTCAGAATACGTCCTGGCAGTTACGAGTACATTACGCTGTCATTCGCAATAAATTAAGACTAAATCAAATTTTTCAGCTTTATTCATATCATTTAAATTATAGGAATACTTACTAAACAGGTATTATCACAGTGGTGATAATCTAAAAACGCACAAAATGAGGTACGGATCTGGTTAAAGATAAAAAGCAAAATGGTTTTTTCATCAAATTAAAAACCTAATCATCTGGTTGACTTATCGTTAGTAAAAAAATTAAAGAATAAAATGAAATTTCACTATAAAAATAGTTCAAATTGTAATCATATAGCAGTTAACCAATCACAAATCATTCATCTACTCTACCTAGAAACAAAGACATGTTAAACACTTATTTTATTATTTCCAGTAGTTAAAAGTTAAAATTTTAATCAAAATTAATTATGCATAAATTCAAATTTGAGGTTACTCTAACTTGGTCAATTTTGTAATAAGAAAAAAAATGTTTATACAAAAATTGTTTAAAAAAAAAAAATCTATCTAAAAATGTCAAGAAAATAGGTATTTCCATTAAAAAAGTAAGTAGTATTACGCATGAGCATATCGGAAGGATTAAAAATTAAAAATTTCCTCAAAATGTGTATTTAGGTACTCACCTCCCGAAAATCCCTATTTCAATGAAATGTCACGCAGCTTAGACATTCAGTGGTATCTGTAATCGTGATCATACTGTATATAACTTTAGATCATTCCAGATAAAATGTGACTTTTATTTTATAGGCAGAACATAATAAAACTTACATAAGAACTAATGAACATCACCATCGCTCAGCGTGGGAGGAGAACTTCCACCATATTAATAGACACAACGAAGAGGCCAAAGACGGAAAACATAATTACACACTAGATTTGAATCATTTAGCTGACATGGTAAGCAATTGTTTATTATAAAATAATTGTTATGGCATTTTGGTTTGACAAAAAGCTTTTAAGTTGTAGTATACATTTGTTTGTCCATAATACCTTCGATTTTTTTTCTCTGCGGTAATTACGCTATGCCCAAGCTGCGGAAATATCCGAGAACACTTGTTTTACTGTGTTACACATCACAGGGAGATTACACAGTCATTATTTGATACTCACACAAAAATATTAACCGCATTGCATTTTATAAGGAGGCTTCAAAATTTTTGGCCACAGCTCAAATTCTTCTCTTACATTACATATTTACCGTATTTTAAAATTACAGAGAGATTGCACACACATGTTTGAATTAAATGACAAATAATTGTATCCAAAAAATGATTTTGAGCTGAGATGTTAATCAATCAGTCTTTATTATTAAGTGTGCTTACAAAAATATTACACTGAGTATTATATCACTCTAAGTTGTGAAGATGTATATATATACCTTAACAAATTATATAAACCAGCGGTTCTTAACCTGTGGTCCGCGGCCACCTGGGGGTCCGCAATACTCCTGTCGGGGGACCGTGGCAGCCTTACCACCTAACATAAGTTAATACGTGACATTATTATTTTTGTTTCATATAAAATTATAATTGTATATAAATGTGTATATTTTGTTATGTCTACTTCTATAATTTGTAATATAAAATAGTTATTATAATTTTGGTTATGATAACTTGATATGTTTTGTAAAAAAAGGAATTCGACAAAATATTGGTAGGGGGGGGGGTCCGTGATTTCTAAAAATATTTCATCGGGGGTCCGTGTTCTACAAAAGGTTAAGAACCACTGATATAAACAATTAAATAATAAGTTAATTTTTAAAAAATAATAACGTACCTACAGCATTCGACGGAGTAATTCAATTCTGAATTGCAAACTGAGACTCTTAGTAAGGGACACCACATATGAAACAAATTTAAGTTTATAATTCAAGTTTAACTAACCCATTGATGATGATAGACACTCGATTCCCATTGGGTCCTAGTGTACAGTAGGTCGATTATCTACTTCCTCGCTTGTCTTAGTTATCTTACTTTAGACCTAATGAATTCAATGGATGTCATCGTATACCTCTCAACTAAATAATTGCATAGTTATTTATGTTTAGTATTTAGTAAAGATAAATTATATTCAAATAAATAAAACATAACAATCGTTTAGATATAAATAAATCTTCAATTAATATGTTTATATTTAAAATGTTTTATTTTTCCATTTAATGATGATTTTGTATATTTTTCAGCCTATACATCTGTACAATAGACACTTTACAAGTCTTTCGTCCAGCAAATTAACAAAAGGTGTTGATACCCATACCCATCCGCCACAACATCATACGAGATCAATTCCCGAAGAGGTATATAAATATATAATCTTAATAAATTATTCTTAAAAGCAAATTCTCTAATTTTCTAAAAAAAGTAAACCGTCAATTCTTTTTTATTTGTATAGTCCTTTAATATTCACGAGTCGTGCCGTTGACGACCATAGACCGTAGGAACGGCATGGCGGAACAGCCAGTGAAAAGCCACGTTCAGAAAAATAAAGCAATTGTCTGTAGAAATGTTTTCACTATAAGTAATTGTACTAGTTGGACACTAAATATAAATTAAAATAAAATACAGAATAATTTTATGATAAAATATATAAATAAAGTGGAAATTGAACTTGTATGGTGGTTATTACACTCATACCAAAATAACATAACATTTCTTCTATGATAGTGTTTTCGTAGAATAGTCTGGTTATTGCATTTATCCCTGCATTACCATTTCCATGATACATAAACGCAGAGGCGTGACAAAAAATAGTACGTGTTGCTCATGCGGAACGGCAGTTTCAATCTTAGGCGAAACACGGCCTTTGCCCACGACCAAAATAGCTCACTTTCTGCCCCTGCCCCACAATATACTATTACGTAATATTGTTGTGTACATTTTAAAATATTTTGTGCGCCACGTATATATTTAACAGCATCTATAAAACCACTGAAGTCCGTTTTCCGATCGACAGGTTGACTGGCGGGAAAGGGGGTTTAACACGCCCGGATGGAATCAGCTGGACTGCGGTGCGTGTTACGCTTTCAGTATAGCTTCTATGCTCGAAGGACAGCTATTTAAAGCCACGGGAAAGTTGCACACGTTGAGGTGAGTATAGAAAAATGAATGTAGTTTAATCAAAATCCTACGAGATGAAAACTAAAACGCACCAAATTTAACTTTTCGTCCCGGGATGTATTAGTTCGCAACAAATCATCGACTGTTCAATCGCCTACGGAAATCTCGGTTGCTCTGGCGGTTCATTAAAAAACACATTGCAGTATCTCCAGAGAGTTGGAGGAATTATGCAAGGAATCGAGTATTCGTACAAAGCAAAGGTGAGTTAAACATCAGTTTTTTCACACAGAAACATGAGATGAGATTTCCTGATCAAGGTCTATGTTATATTATACCACTTGTAGAAATTGGATTTCTAGCACACCCCTTACGATTTTCTATTAACTTTTGAAGGAGTTTAACACTAATAACAGGGCAGATAACACAATGGAGAACTAACCAAGAATGAGCTAATCACTAAGAATTTTGATTTTTAGGCATAATGATTGTGTGAAATAATATAAAAATGATGCAACCCTGTACTGTGTAATATTATAGTTCATTGTAATAAATAATTGGTTGTATTTTTACTCAGGTATGAGTAAATTATTAACATAATATAATTATATATTTTAAACAATTTATTTCAGAAAACATTATGCCATTTTAAAAAGTTTAGAGCGGTAATTCAAATTTCAAACATTTCAATACTGCCACAGTCCGATGAATACGCGCTAAAAGTAGCTGTGGCGCTTATAGGACCAATCAGCGTATCAGTGAATGCAAGTCCAAAAACATTTCAACTGTATTCGTAAGTATAAATTTATTTTAATCATTTGATTTTTCAAATACTTTGGGCTTCTATTTAAAAACATAACTCAAATTTCTATTTTGTTTAATGTTCTTTTGCGAAAAAAGTAATAAATAATGAATACTCAATAACCAGTATTGATGATCTATTATGAAATCATTGTAAAATTTGATATTATTTCATATTAATTAAAAAGAGCATAATATAGTGCTAATTATTTTAAATAATTTTGATTCACGTAGTAAAATGTCAAATTAAAGTTGTATTGATATCCATTTATTTTAAGGCAAACAATAGAAAACTTAATAAATTCAAAATTAAAATAAATCCAAACTAAAACTAAGGAATTATGCTTACGTTATTAATATTCACAAAGGAAAAACAACATATATAGGTTGTTGTGGACTGTAACGCCTTTTTTGTTTTTGGTTCTCGGATAGGAATAATTAGTTTAATTAATATATTGTAACACACCTTATTTCGATCGCAAAAATATATATCTTTATTTATTACGACGACGCGAGCCGGTGTCGATTACATTGATTGTACGCGACTGACTCAATAGTCACACAGTAATCAGTATAATATAAGTCTACGATAATGTGTTATCGGGGTCGGCCCGCGTATCGTCTTTATCGCGACCGAGCGATCCCGACACAAATTATCGACTCTTAACATGAAATAATAATAATAAAATAATACAATATAATAATATGATAGCACGCGTCAACACCGCCCGCCTTGAAATATTTTAATATTTAAACAATATATAATTCACACGAAAAATACATAATATAAGTGTAGATAATATAAATATATAAAAAATTTAATTTTAACAAAAAAGGTAAGTATACATTTGAATTTTACTCCTAACAATGCATGAGAAAATGTCCCTTTTTATTCTTATTGTTTTTTTTTTAATTGCAAACTAACGAAATACAATATACTACAAAATATATATAAACAAAACATATGAATATAAGTTATATTTAACCCCTTATTATACAAGCGTAAAAAAATTTTCGCTTTTTATCATATTCAATTTTATATATAATATACGCATTTTTTTTTTACGATATTACCTTAACCCATGTTCTCATCAAACGGAAGCGGGCACAAATTTCGTACCGCTCGGTTGTACTCGCCCGTCATAGTTTTCACCACCGCCGTACGAATAACTCCGTCCTCTCCGTAGCTGACCGACAATACCCGTCCTAGTTTCCAATTTAGTGGCTTAATATTTTCTTCACGCATCAAAACGATTGTTCCGACAGCCAAGGTGGGACCTCTCTCCACTGACCATTTTTTTCTTACTTGCAATTGATTTAAATATTCGTTGCTCCATCGTTTCCACAAAATTTGCGTGTATTGTCGAATACGACGCCAACGGTCTAATCGATTCGTCGGGATTGTACTTTCATCCCTTTCCGGTATGGCCATCAGAGATTCTCCAATTAGGAAATGTGCAGGAGTAAGATATGTTAAGTCGGAGGGATCGGATGACATTTCGGTTAAAGGGCGGGAATTAAGGCATGCTTCTACCCGGGTAAGTATAGTATTTAGTTCTTCGTACGTTAAATGCGACTCGCTTAGCACTCTACCTATCAGATTTTTCATCGATTTCACTGAGGCCTCCCACAGACCCCCAAAATGCGGTGATCGCGGGGGAATGAACCGCCATTCTACACCATCATTGGCCGTTTGTTTTTGTATTTCATTATTATGCTCCGTAGATTTAAATAAATCATAAATTTCTTTTAAATATCGATTCGNAAATACAAAATAATCGCGGCGTTTTTAAAATGTGCCCTTCTGCTGGGACCCCTATAGTATTTCTAAGAATAACCAATTATTGCATAATTATAATCTTTTCCAATTACAGTAGATATTTTATTACTAGAAATCAAATATTCATTTCAATAATCAAGATTTATTAGGCTGTTGCCTTTGCCGGATATTCAAATCATTATAGTTTTGCCTATATTTAGTTTCTTAGTACACTCATTCAAACAGATGATTCATACCATTTTATTTTTGTTAGTTTTGAGCTTTTCGTAAAACAACATCACCGAGTTCATCTCATACTTTATTGCAGTACAAATTATGAAAAATCAAAAAATGATCTTAAAATGGTTTTTAATTTGATTTAAATATTTATATTGATGTTAATACTTAAATTACATACTTCAAAATTAATTGAATAATAAATAAATTGTTTCAATCAAATTCTAAAAATGTAATTATTATTCTACTCATCTGAAACATTTTTTTTCACTTTGTAAGTATTTTTTTTTTGTTAAAAAAACAATATAAATAAAGTATATTTATGTGTGAGTACTGTATTTGTTTTTACTATTGCATTGAACAAAAAGTACTCGTCTAGTGTTAACATGACTGTCAATTGTCTGTCTATAAATTTTTGCACGCCGAAAAACTTCTTTCCGCATATGGAATAAAAGCTATGTCATCGATGTGGAGATCATCTAGGAGAGACGTTCCAAACATTTATTTTATATTTATATTAAACATGATGATGTATAATGTGTATATTTTAGACCTATATATTGTATTGTAATCATAAACTAAGATACTATGGACTGGAAACGACAAAGTAATCGGTTGAGAGAAATGAGACCAGTTTTTGTTACGGACATTTATGGTGAGGGAAATTAACGGACTGCGCTGAAACCTGGTGGTGAATACCATGAACTACTAACGAGTGTGCTGTGGTTCTAAGGCTGGCTATGAAAGGCATTTAATAGTTAATAGTGTTAATACCTACCTACTTATTAAATATATGAAATTGTTCCAGGTACATTGAAGAGGGAATGGTTTCTAGATATACTTTTTATAAATATTAAAATAATCTTAACATAAATTTTGTTCTAACTTCTAACATGTGACATCACGACAACACATGTAACACAATACATAGAGAAGGTATTGCAATTTGATTCATTATAATATGTTACATAACCTTGTACATAGTAGGAAATTCATACAAGTAGGTACATAGGAAATTTATTAATAAGAGTAATTTCTAAAATTTCAAGAAAATTTTCAATTATTAATTGCAAGAGCTTTGATAGTGAATGATCTTTTTCTGGTGTACCTTAAACATCTGTAGATAATTGGACCGAGATTGTATCAACAGTCAAAAGTCATGGCACTAAAATTAAGTTTGTTTGCAAAAAAAATTCTTCCTCAAGATATAATTAAAAATTATGCCGGAGTTCAGGTATACAGGTATAAATTCAGGATAACCTTAAATTATTATGTGTTTGAAAATTCATGTTTTAATGTTCTTCAACTGAAATAAATATGAAATCTAAACTATAATTTATGATACATAATAATCTACAATTTTAAGACATACATTTTTCAAGTAGAGCTAGATTTAGTTTAGTTGAAGGTGCTATTCCTCAACTTCAGCAGCATAATGTAAAAAAAAAAATGAGTATGCATTTTCTGTAATTGAGGTAAGCTACTTGTATAAACAATTTCAAAATGTATATTATAGCTTGCTTATAGTAGTAGTCAGTAATTGAATTATGTAAAATAATTTAAAGGGTACCGCTAAGAGAACTATTGAAGATATAACTGTTTCAAATAAGTCTTAAGTCCTTGTAGGAGGCAATTGATTTTGTCCCATGAAAAGGATGTTGTTCTTTTATACAAACAAGTAGTTATCATCAAGATACTAAAGTTTCTACCATTAATTTAAATAGTTATCAGCAGATACATTAACATTTTACTCTTTCAAAAAGTTTTACTATATTTTACTAATACATATAAATATAAAAATTAAGACACCAAGTTACAAACTCATCCCAATATGTGTCATTGTTTTATTGTTATTTTATTTTATCGAGTGTCCATATATTTTTCCTGTATATACTTCAAATTACATAATTTCCAATTATTATTTTTACGCTATAGTTTTCAGCAATAAAATAAAAAATACCCATTTTTAATTAAATTAGTAAACATACAATAATAATCATAAATAATGTTAATTTAGTTCACAACAATATAGTACCTATACTGATCTTGAAATCCCACCAAAAAATGTTCGTAACAAAACGGGGCTGCTGTTTAGACATTCGTTTCCAGTCCTTAGTGTCTTAGTTCATGATTGTAAAACACTAAAGTATGTTTTTCTGTAAAAATTATTAGTTATTTATTTTTTTCAATTATCTTTGCCCCATCCATCTCTAGAAAAATGTTAATCATCGTACCTTCTTATAACTTTATAGGTCTGGAGTATACGATGATCCAGCTTGTTCGTCTAACACTGTTAACCACGCAATGTTGCTGGTCGGATACACTAAGAACGCTTGGATTTTGAAAAACTGGTGGAGCTCGAAATGGGGTGACAACGGTTACATGTACTTAGCCCGTGGTAAGAACCAGTGTGCCGTGTCCACCTACGCTGCTTATGCTACCATACTACTGCCGCATCACCGATCACTACCATCGACCCATCCTTAAGGTTGATTTGATATCCTGAATTTGGTATTGTCTCAAGTCATAACTGAAGCTAAATTTAAGTATATTAACTAACATTGTACCAAATATGAACTTAAAAATGATAAAATATACATTTCATTATAGTTTACTAATAAAAAAAATTAGTTTAAAAACTTTGGACGTTTAAGATTAACTTTTTTTTAAAAAAAAATACACTAGTAGCAGCTTATTAAGAACCTTATGTAGGGTAAGTAGTGATTAGGTAAGTATTGGTATTTATTTCAACTCATTTATATGATTCAATTCCTACAACTCAGTTCACCTAAATGAGTTGAATCCCCAAACCAAGAGTGGTCACTCTCTTAACAAATCTTAATTTATGTATAGATAATTTAAGGACCTATTGACTCACAACTTCCAAGTGAGTTAGAATAAATTACTAAGTCTTTCTAATGGATAATTATTAAAATCATAATTAATATATTATATCAGTCAATTCAGTTTTATTTAATTTTCATTGGGGTAACACTAGTCACTGAGTCATGTGAGTTGCTGATTCAGTTCATACTGATTTAACTCTTATTTTTTGACTTAACTCAAAAACTAATAACCGTGGACACTTGCAATTTTCACCAAATATATTAACAATTTCTATATATGTAAAAATTTAAAAATATTTTGACTGTTTAAGTCATTTATAACAATGAGAAATTGTCCTAATTTTGTTTATTATAGTTATTTTACCTTTATCAGAAAAAGTTGATATTTTTAATATTTTTAATTAATTTTAAGTTTAAATATTTATACAAGTATGCAAGGAAGAGTAGAAGACACAACATATCAGATCAGAATTGTCTGCAACGATTCATCATTGATTTCAAATATAACACATCCATTACAATGATATATCATACAACGCAAATATGCCTGATAACTACTGTACATTAGAATTTACCTACTTACTCATATTTTTTATTTTGCATATTATTTCAAGTACCTCGGTATAATTATTTTAGGCAAAATATGGATTACGAACTAATAATTACATTAAAAAGTCAGACAGTTGTTGTAACTCATGTAGATTGTACAGTTATCATAGATTACAATTTTCGGGTTTATCTAAAAGCCTATAGGTAGTAATTTCATAATTTGTGTCACATAATATTAAAGCTTGGATGTAATGGTTTACCTACAAAATACGTTGTTATTTTTTCTTTCTAATAAATGTTGTTTTGCAGAATTATATTTATCAATGCATACCTCTAAAATGGTCTTCTCCACCAGCCCACAGAGTATGCAAGCGAGTGCATCCTCATGCGCACGACTATGAGCTTCGCAACCTAACGGAAAATGAAGCTTCGAATTTCCGAAGGGAGGGGGGTGATGAAATGTATCTGATTTGAATTGATAAACTGGTGGATAAATTGGTGTCAAAGGTCCGGAGCACGTGATCTCAGACCACTTATTTCAGCCACCCCAGTCATGGACACGATGCCATTTCCAAAGGTCCGGAATATCTTCGAGGCGTTCGATTCGGTCTCGGACGAACTAGTCTTTACCAGAACCTCGACGAGCTTTTAAATTCTACCTAGAAGATGTCCTCTCCAAAAGCGGGTAGTCCCTCGGGGATCGGTAACAAGTTGCTCAAGAGGATTATCCTTTACTGGTCCATGGCGACTCTGGATATCTACTACAGGTGGCCCACATGTTCCTCCCCCCTGGAAGAAGGTCAAACTGGTACTCTTACACAAGGGCCCGGGCAAACCAGTTGAATCGCGATTGAAAAAGGGGATAAACTGGATTGCAGGTCTTGTATACTTGGTTGATATATTTGAACAGCTTAATAAGCTCAATATTCATATGCAAGAAAAATATACAAATATAATCAAATATGTAGATTCTTTCTAACCTAAACGATTTCAGAAATAAATTATAAAATTGGAAAAGAAAAATTAAATTAATCAATTTTACAATATTTGAAGAACTTTTTTCAGTTCTTACCACAAATAATTACAATGAAACATTGTCTGTATCATTAAACACTGACATTTTTTAATATATAACTACCCTAGAGGACGAATTTGAACGGTATTTTCTTATAATGGTAATAAACCTTTGAAAAAATCGTAAAACTAAGGGTACCACTTAGCATTCAACTAAACAGTAAACATTATCATTTATCGAATTAATAATAACAAGTAGGTACACACACATGCATACGAGCTGCAGTCAGTTCTATTATTTACAAATAATGAGGATTTTTTATTTTTATCTTTTTGGCAGTGTTGTATTAATATATAAAAATCCCAATCGATTTGGGACTTATTCGAAACTGTTGATGGAATTGTACTTAAAATTCGATCGATTGCCTGACTCATAAGAGAGATTTTCTGAAAATTGAGCTATATTGCTTACAGTTTAGTAGTTTACACACACTTAATAACTTATTGATATGAGCTAAAAAAGACATTCAGCAGAACAATTACAAAACCTATTCAAATGTGAAAAAAAAGTATACGACACTTTTAAGAATCAAAGAAATATTAAAGTAGAATGGTTAAAAGGTAAATTTGTCTTTTAATTTATTGTTGAAGTTGTAAAAATTTCTTAATTTATATGTACGTAAATATTATTTCGTAGGGTACGGTAAACTGAAAAGAGCAATTAAGAACGAGATACTTAACAACGACATTTGGGATAGTTTTATATCAGTAGGAGCTAAAAATATTCCTGTTTTTGGACCGATGTTACAAGAAAAGGTCCATGAAATTGCTGTACGGCATGTTTATAATACATTTAAAGCTTTCAATGGTTGGTTAATTTTAAAAATAGACAGAACATCGCTTGAAATCAAGTTTGTGATGAGTCGTACAACGTAAATTCCGACAGTGTAATAGAGTGGAAATCAAAAATATTTGAGTTCATAAAATATTATGGTGCATGTAACATTTACAATTGTGGTGAAACCGGTCTGTTTTTTCGTGATATTCTAAATACAGCATTACAACTTAAAAGAGAGCAATGTAAGGGCTTGAAGTTATCTAAAGAGAGATTAACGATTTTATTATGTGGGAATATGGTCGGAGACACGGATAAGCCTCTTGTGATAGGAAAGTCAGCTAAATTAAAATATTTCAAAACTACCCTAATTTGGTGTACTGATAAGAAAGCTTGGATGAAACTTGCTTATTCAGTTCAATTATATTTATTCAAAGATTATAGAAAATTCATAGTAGGTACTCTTAGATAATGCATTATGCCATCCAAAATTTACATTACCAAATATAAAACTTCCTTGGTTCCCACCAAACATAACTTCTTTAACTCAACCCATGGATCGAGGAATAATTTATTGCGTTAACATATTATATTACCGTATTTTTCTTATGCAGTTTTTCCAAACTTCCTTGGAGCAATAGACGGTAAACATATAGCAATTAAATGTCTGCCAAATTATATATTATTATATATTATATTATACTTTAATTACAAAGGCGGAATGGGACAAATTGGCTCCACCAACTGGGCACGGCCTACTCGTAGCAGCTAACTGGGTATTGTGAAAAGTAGGTATGAGTCAAGTGAACGCCAGGAGAGCTGGACGCTAAACAGCTAATTACCCCATGGTTCAAAATAAGACTAAATGTGATCCACCTATAGGCGTTATCATTATCCACTCATTATCATTAATGTATCTTTATGGCTTCGTCCGTTAGGTATTAATATAATCGTATTTTATTTCATTGTCTCCACATGCACGCCATTGTACAGTAAGCTATTGTGCAGCGCCCTACATCTGTCAACGGTCGACCGACTCGCACATACGCATTTCACGACACATTATCTGTTTGGGAATTATTTTGGTTTTATATATATGAAGCATTTAAAAAGTTAGTTAATATTTGTCCTAGACCAATTATGAAAAATTTTTTTAGATAATATGTTTAGCCAACTTGTTATTTTTATTTTATGCGCAGCCATTTAGCAGGCCGTTGTCCCATATTGTGCATACTGTACTCATTATGTTTTTTTTTTTGTTAGATACAATCAAAAGAATATAGGTTAGCTTAATATTGAGCCACAACTTTGGGATATGTGGGCAGTAGTGGTGCAATGCTAGACATTCACACGAATGTTTATTTACTTCTCGCAGTAGGTACATATTACTTCACGTGTTAAATCAATTGCCTATCGCATACTTCTTAAAAACAGAGATTCCAGCACACTTAAATGTTCATTGTTTCGTGTTAAAATAATATGTGTACAATGCCAAACTAAATAAAGTTTTTGTTGGGTAGCTTAACTTGCAAAACATAAAAAATATTTTAAATACCATAACTTATACTTATTTTATTTAGCACATTATTGTTTCATGTCGCCTTATATCTGTTTTTTCATCGATCTCGAATAAATTAATACAATTGTGTATGTAAATAAAATACATGTAAATGCAGTAAATTTATTTTTAAATATTTATATTGATAATAAGTATTTTTACAATTTTATAAATATCTGGACACATCAAGTAAGTTAATCTTAAATCATCGATAGTGATAATTTTGGTAATTAATACTGATATTCGGCAACTTTTATGCATTGGCCGTAATTTAGGTTATATATACTGTACATACAATTCAACGCATGGGACACTTAAAAAAAAATGTCACCAGGGATTGAAAATATAAGGGTTGATCATACAAAATCGAATATTATTTAAATATAAAAATAAATTGATTAAATGACGTTTTTGGCAAAATTAAGTATAAACAAATGTACTTTGTAATAAAAGAACATTGGAATAATTACCAAACAATAGGTTTCTACCGTGAGCCAGTAGAAATAAATTACTCAATTCATATAAAATACATAATATACCATAAGGACGTTACGAACTCAAGGTTAATAGAATAAACAATACACTTAGATACAGCATAATAATCTTAACAATTTAAATAAATAGCAAAATACAGTGTTTAAAAAATGTTTTTTTTTTTTAAATCACGATAGGAAGAATCAACGAAAACATCAAACAAAGTAAATACATAAAACACAAGGCCGTACTTAGGGTTCATAAACAATCTAAAATAAGTCGATAACA